CTGAGTCGTCTTTGAATTCTTTTGGCTTCTTGAAAGTTTTCCTTGATTTTCCGTCTCTCCTATCGCTCGAGTTAGTGTTCCTCGTGGCGAAGGCCTCTAGAGTCCTGTTCATCATCTCCCAAGTGCTTGCCCATGTCATGGCATCCGGACCTGCGTTGCTGCTAGCTGTTGAGTCCCCCGGACCACTCGTTGTGTTTGAATTCCCACTTTTCATGATTGTTTTATCAGCCGTTGGTGCTATGCTCACCGTATTCCGGGTTAAGGGCAACGGTGTCGATTGCCGCTTGCCCCTTTGTGGTTCCACAAAGTCAACTCTGGTGCCTTGCGTGCGATCCGCTGCCGGTCTTTCTTGTGAGGTAGAATTTCTCAAGATTGCATCCAATTTCGTCTGTATTGCACCTGAACTTTCGGCCTGATTCTTGCTCATTGTGTCCAGCCTCTTTTCCAGGCTACCTATTTGGCTGTTGACATCATCATATCGGTTTTTCAACTGTTGCAAATCTTTTTTGATGTTCCCTTCTCGTTCTTTATTGGTGGCTTCTACCTTATCTGTCATCTCCTTGAGTCTCTCGTCTGTTGCCTTAGCCAGGTTAAAATAACTATCCAGATACTCGTGTTTGTTGTATCTTAATTCTTTTCTTATCACTTCTCTGTCCTCTTCGCTGTGCTTCAGCTTTTTGTCGATCTGATTCAGTTTTGCCATCAAGTCACCTAGCTCAAGAGTAGCCTCTTCATGGTCAGCCGTTGGTCTTTCTTCGGCCGTTGCTTCTGCTTTAGTTTGTTCCTCTCTCGGATTGGCTTCTGTCGTCTTCGTGCTCACTGTCCCAAATGTTCGTGCTCTTTCAGCTTTTGGTTCCTCAGTCACGTTCTCTTTCGTTTTTATTCCGACCATCATCGCCAACCTTTCTGTAAAAGATGTCTTTTTTACTTGAGAGTCTTCTTTCACCGTTTCTTCGGTGTTGCCTATTGCGTCTTCCACATCGTCTATTGGTGAGAACTCTATGGGTTTCGGGTTTGGTTCTTCTGCATTGGGCATTGGAGTTGACTCCGTCGTCTTTTTCTCTAGTTCATCTTCGCTCTGGTCTGGTGTCTCTAGGTCGATTTCGATTGTAGGCTCCACCTCTTTTTCCCTCGCATCTTCTCGCGTCTTGCTCTCGGTGCCACTCCTCGTGCTGACCATGCTAACTGAAAAGTTATTTCTTGTTTTGCCTGGGCCCCTTGATGTTGTTCCACGCAGCGACGAGTTATATTTCGTGTTTGATCCACTTGACCTTTTTTCAAGCACCGGTACCCTACTCCATCTCATTATTTCTATTTACAATTGCTCTTATTTACAATATTATTTTATATACAATTCTATTCTAAGAATAAAAAATTTTGTGGAAACAAATTCTTAAAAGAAAATATACAACGTGATAAAAACCTTGTTCCAGTTCTCTAAAATTCCAGTTGTAATTTTACTTCAATTTTTATACTGTCCTCAGACTTCCAGTTACCGTCCCTACTCTTCTTCGTACCGTCCCAGGCTTCCTTTTACTGTCCCAAGACTGTTCGGTAATGTCCCAGTACTCCGTCAGTGTCCCAAGACCCCTGACCTGAGAGTAGTGTCCCAAGGCTAGTGTCCCAAGGCTAGTGTCCCAAGACAACTGTCCCAAGGCTAGTGTCCCAAGGCTAGTGTCCCAGGACTACTGTCCCAAGGCTAGTGTCCCAAGGCTAGTGTCCCAAGACTACTGTCCCAAGGCTAGTGTCCCAAGACTACTGTCCCAAGGCTAGTGTCCCAAGACTACTGTCCCAAGGCTAGTGTCCCAAGGCTAGTGTCCCAAGACTACTGTCCCAAGGCTACTGTCCCAAGGCTAGTGTCCCAAGGCTAGTGTCCCAAGGCTAGTGTCCCAAGACTACTGTCCCAAGGCTAGTGTCCCAAGGCTAGTGTCCCAAGACTACTGTCCCAAGGCTAGTGTCCAAAGGCTAGTGTCCCAAGACTACTGTCCCAAGGCTAGTGTCCCAAGACTACTGTCCCAAGACTACTATCCCAAGGCTAGTGTCCCAAGACTACTGTCCCAAGACCCTTGTCCCAAGATTATATCCCAAGACCCTGTCCCAAGACCCTTGTCCCAAGACCACTGTCCCAAGACCCTTGTCCCAAGACCACTGTCCCAAGACCACTGTCCCAAGACCACTGTCCCAAGACCACTGTCCCAAGACCACTGTCCCAAGACCACTGTCCCAAGACCACTGTCCCAAGACCACTGTCCCAAGACCCTGTCCCAAGACCACTGTCCCAAGACCACTGTCCCAAGACCCTGTCCCAAGCCCACTGTCCCAAGACCACTGTCCCAAGACTGTATCAAGACTGTTCTGGTCCAACACTGTCCCAGGACTTCTTTGGCACTGTTCTAAGGCTGTTGACAAGTGTCTGAGCGGTGGGGCTTCTCTCTTCTTTGTTATGGGGACTTCTTGATTCACTGTACCTTGTACCACCACTCAAGCTCTAGTAAAATTTCCCCAAAAACCCTCTCTTAAGAGCCAAATGCTGACCTCCCTTTTTTCTTATTTCTTTTTAGTTACCTCTATTTCAATGTTCCAAGCAACTTGAGACCAAAACCTGTGCGCAGGTATCTTGTGATCACCTGTTCGTATGCAAACTAAACACAAATCCACCCCAAAATGCAACAAAAAATCCAATCCAGAAAAAGTAATAAAAACGGAAAGATGAGCCCACCTAAAATTCAAAGGTGACAAATGTCTACCTTCTATCGAAAAAATGTCTGGTACCTAATTGCCACGCGTTTCCTTCCCCCCTGCTAGCGATCTTATGGGGTATCACAAAAACTGTCTATGTCCGTTTCCCCCTACCGATCCGACCAGGGTACCTACCTTAACCTAATTCCAATTTTGGATATCCGTTTCCTATGACCAACGCGTGTAAATGACTAATGTAACTAAATCAACGATGTCGACCAATTAGTTACTCTAATTTCCCCCCTTTTTACAATTTACAACCGCCAACCTCTAACTTAACCAGCCCCCTTCTAACCTCCCCCCTTTTTAGCCCCCCTTCTTAAACCTAAAATCACCTTAAGCGCCGGGTGCTAAACCTCTCAAGAGAAAACCGTAGACCTGTCTCCAGGCCTGCTCAAGTAAAAACGTTTCTCAAAACCGGGGGATATCGCTTATCCAATTTTACACTTATTTCCTATAATGTAGTATGAGTTTTAACGATACCCGTTCTGCCCAACTTGAGAACTCGAGAACTGCCAAATCCCTCTTGGCTACTTTCCCACTCGACTGGTCACCTCTTCCAGTCCAGTCTCCTATTGGTTCAGCTCAAGTGCTCCTGAACCACTTTCCCACTCGGCTGGTCACCTCTTCCAGTCAAGTCTCCTATTGGTTCAGCTCAAGTGCTCCTGAACCACTTTCCCACTCGGCTGGTCACCTCTTCCAGTCAAGTCTCCTTGTTGTCCAGCTAAGTTCCAAGCTATCTAAAAACCCTTGACAACGCCCCACACTCGGGCACTTTATTGAGGTTACTGGGTTAAATTGCTAGGTTGATCGAAACGATCGAACTTGTAAAACAGTATGGGTATACTATTTAATTAATATAAAGGTTTGATCCAACTAATCTGGTGTCAAATTCACTGTCTTTTTTCGTTTTATGGTTTTTGTTTCGCTTTTTGTCTTTTTGCTCGTGTTTTTGTCCCCCTAGTTGCCCCCCTTTACTCGGTTAGCTAAGCCTCGTTCGGAGAGCGTACCAGGAAGTTTTCTTGAGTTTTCTTAAAAAACTATCACGGTACAACCGGAAGGTTTGCACGTTCCTGTCGAACCGTACCGCCGGTACTCTAGAATGGGCATTCAGCCCGAAGCTGTCTCAAGTGGGTTCGACTCCGTAGTCTTGATGTCGTAAACACCCAGGAGCGCCATAAAAACACTATGTAACATTCGTCTACTGCAGTCACACATGAGGCTTAAGAAAAATAGGCCCTATAACCATTGGCTCAAGAGTCAGGGACACTATCTCTTGTGTTTTTGTACCTCAAATCAGTCGGAGCCAATTCGGTTCGCTTGTGACATGAGACTACGACCCGTTACAGCTTAAAGGCTACTACTAAAATATCCCCCCACTCTAGAATTAGAAACGTCCCCATACTTAGGTCTCTAGATACCCAAAATACATGAACGCCGTTAAAAACCGGGTTGGAACAATCCGTTAAGTTACTTTTTATCAGACAGTGGAACTTTGATCCATTTCAGATGGATCAACCTAAAACTCGCCTTACCTCAACATAACAATTATAAAACACACTCTAGAAATTTAAATTAGTACTCACATTGTAGCACGCTCAAGAACCAGGAAGTAAATAAGTCGGTGAGCAACTCAAGAATCAATAAAGTAACTAAAATGAGTTTAATGTTAGTCAGTTTTAATAACAAGAACAAGTTTTTACTCTAGACTGTAAGTTCTCGTGAACCATTGGGACACTCTAGCTGTCCACCTTTCCACCGAAGGTTCACTCTAGTCCAGTTTAGAATAATACTCCAATCACAACAATCCAGTTCGTGGGAATGCGCTCGTCTCTGTTTTAGATGGGACAGCTCTACTCTCGATTATTATTGCTACTGAAATTGCGAATAGCAATTTCCCACTGATTTTTCTAGCAACTTTCCCGCGATTGTCACTCGATCGTTCTGACTTCTCTTTTCTGATTTTCAGTTATCGCGAGAAAATCGTGCATGACAGGTTCCATTCGAAATTTTGAAAAATTAAACTTCACTCCAAAATTAAGTGCTTTTTGCCTCTCTCAAGGTCAAACTTCCAAATATGACCGACTGGCACAGTGTTTTTGTATGTTTACTTGCGTTCTTAACTCTTTTCTAGTCTTCGATTGGCTATGTTCTGTTGGCTAGCTTGCCATGATAAACTAGTGCTGTAACGCAAGCCGCGTGAAGTTCCGAATGACCTCTGCGTTCAAAATTAAGATTTAACAATATTTTGACATAATTTTTTAATGCATTCTTTTTTCAGTACTCTAAAATGGCTTCTGCACCAATTGCAGAGCGAAATCAAGATGCAACTGTGTATGTGGGAAATTTGGACGAGAAAATGACGGAATCACTAATATGGGAATTGTTTTTGCAAGCGGGTCCTGTTACCAACACTCATATGCCTAGAGATCGAATATCTCTGCAGCATCAAGGCTATGGATTCGTGGAGTTCCTAAGCGAAGAGGATGCTGACTATGCTATAAAAATAATGAATATGATTAAAATGTTCGGTAAACCCATTCGGGTGAATAAAGCTTCTTCTGGTGGTGGAGCAGCGGCACAGCGAAACCTGGATGTTGGAGCTAACTTGTTTGTTGGTAACCTCGATCCAGAAGTAGATGAAAAGTTGATTTACGACACTTTTAGTGCGTTTGGTGTTATACTTCAAATACCCAAAATCATGCGAGACCCTTCCTCTGGAAACTCGAAGGGCTTCGCCTTCATTAACTACGCCAGTTTTGAGGCTTCAGATGCTGCAATTGATGCCATGAATGGACAATATCTGTGCAACCGACCAATTACCATCAGCTATGCTTTCAAAAAAGATTCAAGAACAGAACGACATGGATCAGCTGCTGAAAGACTGCTGGCTGCTCAAAACCCCGTTGCACAGGCTGATAAACCACATCAATTATTCGCAGATGCACCTGCACCCCCTGCAGCTCCATCTGCCCCAATGATGAATATGCCACCACCGGCACCTCCGATGACACCTGATCTGACAGGAGGACTGATGCCTCCAGCTCCTAGACCCATGCCACCTGGACCACCACCTCCAAACTTTCATCCGCATTTCGGACCTCCTCATGGGGCTCCTTCCCCTATGCCGCCTCGACCTTCCCCAACACCCCCTCCTATGAGACAATTCCCTCCTCCTTCTATGAGTCCAATGCCACCACATCCGAACATGATGCCGACGCCACCTCCGAGAGGTCCACCTCCACCGATGCACCCTGGCATGATGCGCGGTCCACCTCCGCCTGGTTTTGGAGGTATGACTCCTCCGCCTCCAAGACCAGGAGGTCCTCCGCCACCTCATCATTTTATGTCACCCACTCCACCGCCACAGGGATTTATGCACCCGCCTCACATGGGTCCACCTCCACCCGGTTGGAGAGGACCTCCACCTCCTATGATGACTCCTCCGCCTCCTCCGATGGGAATGATGAACCAGTTCAACCCACCACCACATGGTCACATGAATCCTACACCGCCGCCGCCTCCAAGATAGTGCTATCGAATAACCAAACATTATTTTTATCTGCTGTCGATAATTTGATGTCTTCTTTGTTTTTGTTCATTTGGAATAAACTATTATAAAGTCAGGCTTATTCCGAGCTCTTACAGGCGATGCATTGAAAAATTTTTAACTTACATTTTTTCTGACACACGCGAGGTATTTCTCGATGAGTTTGTTGAAACTGTTGCCGAGCATCTTTAGATAAAGGTGGAATTTTTTTTCGATATGTGGATCTGTCATTATTGGGATAAAATTTGAAACAAAATTGTCTACAGAAATCAAAATTAACGAGCAGTTCCTCCTAAAATATCAAAGTGATTTATTTTTGAAAATCGTTCGACAAATTTATGCATTATGTCAGTAGCTTTGATTGGCCAACATGAAAGCTGTCATCCAACTGAATCATCCCCTAGCGAAATTGTTTTGGAAATAAAATTGTTCACTTAGTCAGAAAAGTCTGCTATTTGCATAGAATCACGGGTTTCTTTGAAAAAGTGTATTAGTATGACCCTTCTTTTTTGCCAATCTAACTTGCAAAAAAGGGCTCTTCATAGCAGTAGTAGAAGGTCCAACACCGGTAACGCTGGGGGGGGGGGGGGGGGGGGTGAGCAGGGTGCGGAAAAGAGCAGGAGCAAAATTTGTTTATTATAGTTTCGACCCGTTGCACTCGGTATTTACTACCATTTAATTCCAGCTGGAAATACTCACGCAGAGTATGCAAGGCAAACTTGTACTTGCATGTAACTGATACAAATGCATGTATCCATAAAATCTTTTGGTTCGATTTGGGCAAAGATAAAACTTAGCCGACATATATTTTTTTTTTCACAATCAGCTTGAAATCTGTTAAGACAAATAACATTGTTATGTATGTGGTGATATTGCGCATAGCAAGAAACTTGAATATATCCGAGCTAATCGTTTTCTTTGCCTAAAAATTTCACCAAATACTTGAAAAATTGATTATAAATTAAACAACTTGATTGTTAATAATTGTTACTAACCTGTATAAATACCCAGTGCATTTACCCAGTCAAGACATCATCAATATCAGCAAGTCATAGGTCATTAAAAGTATCGATTTTGACCCTCATCCCTAAAAAATCTAAAAACTTCAAAAATTTTTTTTCTTTTTCGAAAACAATCCTAAGTTAAGGTAACATCAATACCATGAATTCTAAGTAAAAGAACATTGAGAAAAGTATCAATTTTGTTTTCTCCACCCCTCAAAAAAAATTTCAAAATAAATTTTTTGTGATTTTTTCAAAAATGATTCCAAATTGAAGGTAACATCAGTACCATCAATTTTAAGTATTAGAACATTCAAAAAAATTGACTTTTTTGGCCCCCACATCCCTAAGAAAATCCAAAAATTTCAAAAAAAATTTTTTTTTTTGATTTTTTCAAAATGGTCTAAAATTCAAGGTAACATTAGTACCATCATTTTTAAGTAATTGAATATTGAAAAAGTAGCTGTTTTGGTGCCACATCCGTCAAAAAAACTACAAAAAATTTTTGTTTTGTTTTCAAAATGGTCCAAAATTCAAGGTAACATCAGTACCATCATTTTGAAGTATTTTAATATTGAAAAATTAGCTGTTTTGGTGCCACATACCTCAAAAAATCCATAAATAAAAAAAAATTGTTTTGATTTGTCAAAAATCATCCAAAGTAAAAGTAACATCAGTTCAATCAATTCTAAAAATAGAAAATTGAGAAAAGTATCGGTTTTTGTCTCTCCACCCTAAAAAAATTCAAAATTTTGTAATGATTTTATCAGAAAAAAAATAACAAATTAAACGTAATATCAGTATTATCAAATCTTTGTATTTGACAATTGAAAAACTTGTTGATTTGGTCCCACCCTTCAAAAATTTTCAAAACAATGTTTTTTTTGATTTTCTCAAAAAATATTTCAATTTAAAGGTAACATCAGTACCATTAATTCTAAATAGTAGAACATTGAAAAAAATTTTCCATTTGCAGTATCATTTTATTAAAAAAATTATCCTAAAACAGTTGTTCTCCAAAATGTCTTTTTTCATTGATTTATTATCGAATATAATTTTTAACTACTATCCAGATTACACATTATCTTTCTTTCTTATTTTTTACCCGAAAAAATTAATATGAGTGGTCAGTGGGAGGTCGCCTTGACTGTAAGTATTTTTCTGATAAAATTTAATGTCATAGATGGAACATTTGTGTTTGGTATGTATGAAACAAAAAAGTCCAAAAATCAGTAATCAGTTGAAACGATCTTTTCAATGTGTTGCTTTTAACTTCATTATAATTATATGTGGCTGGCCATTTCATTAATCCTTTTTGAATTGAAGTGTGTACAGATTCGGACACCGAGAAATATCTTGCATAAATTGAAGCCCATCTTATTTGAACCGAAAACTTTGGGTTTGCAACTTGAGTTGCAAGAACAAATTCTGGTTTCGAACGAGCTAGTCTTATTCTTAAATCGCTGTTCGGTAACAACAGTTGATCTGTAGCAAAGAAATCAACTGCCAATTTACCATAAAACACGATTCTGTGAGTTTTTTGTCCATTTTAATCGTTGAATATGGTTGCTTTTTCCAGTTTCAAATAACGAAGGATCTGTTTCATAGGAATAACCTTGTGTTGCCAGTTAAGTTTTAACACAGCCCTCAGTATGAGACAATTCCGTTTCAAGAAAAGCTCTTTGTGCGTACAAGTTGTTAGAAGTGTGTACAAGTTCATTGTTTGAAATAACATCACAGTTAGAATAAATTGAATGTAAAGTGTTATTAGAGAAAGCTACTTTTGAAGGATCAGTTATATTGCCCGTAGTTGCGTCAACTGTCTAATTATTGCCGTCATTTTTAATTGTTGCTCAATTTTCAATTCCAGACTTTGCAAATTCAAATAAATGTTACGACCAGTGTTTAACATAAATTCAACAACGGTGGCATCATCGGAAGTAATGGGAAGTGTTTCCTGTTCATATGTGTTGTCAAATGTAACTAACACTTCAGGGCGTTTGAAAATGTCGAGGCTTGAATGGTGTGCTGCTTTGGGAGTTTGCATTTTTAGCAAGGAGTATTTCTCAAAATATCAGTTTTTTGTTTTGTGGGTTTCTGAGTTATCTTTTTTGGCTTGGATGACCGACTGATTCGAGAAGTTGTTTTCTCAGAGCTTTCAACACCACCACTACTATTATTATCACTGCTTCGTTTCTTTGGTCTAACTTCGGGTTCAATTTCTTCGTCTTCTAAGAACGAACTGATTTGCTTAGTTTTGTATGATTTTAATTCAGGATTTGAAATTAAATGTTCTGAGATTGCAAGTTTTTTCAACAGTAGATAATGATATTGTGAAGGTGATTCATCCTTTGGAAACTTGTGATAAAGATGGTAGAGAATTGAACTAACAGATAAATCAGTATTTGGAGATTCGGAAATCAAATTCAAATTCTCATCAATTTTGATATTTGCATTAATCAAAATTTTATTCGGAATCAAACGACTACGTAGTTGTGTAGTTTTTGATCCGCCAATTTTTCTTAGTATTGAATCTGTAGTTGCCTGATTTTTGTTTTCGGAAGAGACTTCCTCGTGAAGATTGTCAATTTGTTCTTTTTGTGTACTTGTTTTTGTTGGGATTTTTTTTGCTTCTGGTTAAAAACTGACAAGAGTTTAGACTTTTCCTGCAAAGTGGGTTTATTTTGAAGGATTGATTTCCGAAAGTTGGTTGATTGTTGAATAAGAGATTGCTGATATGTAGTGTAGGGTATTAGGTTAAATTTTTCGGACTCCATCAATTAGTTAGATAGCGCAATGCTGCTGGACAAATAATTTCAAGTAAATCTAGAGAATTTTTTAAGCTCAAAATTGCACGTCTCTCTGTTACTGAAACTGATATTAAAACGATGCGTTTTTTTCAATTTGACTCCTTCTCACTCCCTGAACATTTACCGCCAAAGGTTTTACTTCTACTACTTCTAAGAAATTACAAAAAAAGAACTGTCATATTTCATAACTGTTTTCTTTTTGTTTTTATCTTTAATAAACTGTCCAATCATATAGATATGCTGTGAACTCATCCCTAATAGTTTTGGTTTTTGCCAGAGAACTGGGCAAATAAAAAATTGTTGGATTAATGTTTGAACTGCAGCGGAGGATGTCAGGTGTTCGCGTTGAAAGATCTACCATTAAATGACCAAAATCTTTTGAAGTAAGCGTCTTTGTAACAATCTGTCATGAATTTTGTCAGCCCCAGTTTGCCGAAAACCGAAATTTGATTTACATCTCTAGGCGACTTGAACAAGAGAATATGTGTTTACTGTAACTCAGCTTCCCTACCCTGCGGGCTTTTATGAAACAAGTTGTGTTTGATATAAACTACGTTCAAATTTCATGACGTCCAGACGTCGCAATTTTTTAAAATTGATTAGAACTCAAAAATTCCTGCGACAAATCATCAAAAATCAAAAGCCTTTTGATTTTGCTCTTATTATTTATGTTTTCTTTGACCAACTCGCGTATCAAATCAAAATTTACTCCGTGTGAGTTCAATGGTGGGAACAATATATGTCATACAAAAACTCATATAAACATGTCATATAAAAACTCAGTTTTACCTGAACCACTAGGTCCCACCAGACGCATGAACAGTCTATCATTCGTCCTAATTTTTTTGTTCATATTTTTTTGGATTAGGCAAAATATAACCAAATTGTACTTGTTAAAAGAGCTACACAAAGTGTTTTGTCCTCCTCACAGTCAATCACACAGAGCTTGTAAATTAAAAATCGTATAAAAATTAGCAGAAAAAGCAATTGTTCGAGAAATACAATCTCTGATCTTGGAATATTTTGACCGCACAGAATCCAAGGTTTTCTCTCGTGGTTTTTATCATCAAAAACAATATTTGTTATTCCTCCTGCAGAGTCAACTATTCATTGCCGGCTTTTTAAAAAATGATAATCAAAAAAAAATTTCAATTAACATTTTGCAACCATTCAAAAAATAAATAAGCTTTTAAAAGGGTTCAATGGTGTGAATGACCTCTGAAGTCAGCAAGTTCACATTTAGGTATTTAATCTTTTTTCAGGTC